CCAAAAATCCCTTTTCACACTGCATCTCTGCAAAAACCTGCATGCTTAATTCTCCACCATTTTCTTTTCTTAAAAGTGTTTATCTAATTATTGCCCTCAAACTCAACCACCATCGATCCACGTATTCGCATTTAATACATAGCTCATCACAGACAATTAAGCCAGTTCTCTGCTCCTTCTTTTGCTTACTTCCCTTGAATAAAAGGAAGCGAAAAAATTGTACAAGTGTGAATAAAGTACAGTACAACCTGGATGAACAAGACAAAAATCAATTCACTAATTTTTTTTCAAATGATGTAACTAGATACTGCAGATAATTAGGTGATCCGGATCGATCATCAAGCATACATGTATATATATGTATTGAGTTGTGAGCAATAAATAATGTTGAAATTTCATTGGTAAATATTGTGTTTAATTTCTTGAATGGTCCTGAACATGGCACGCCGCGCCGGAGAAATTAAAGAACACCATAAAATAACGTAATGTAACGTATAAGTCTTTTGATTGATTGATTGATTCCATCAACAAATGCTATTGGCGAGGGATGGAGATAATTGAAAGACACGCAAACGACAATATTCCGACGAAGGAAATAATGAAGCAAGCTTCCCACAATCAACGTCGTTAGATAGGATCGTGATTAGTTTGTTGCAGAATGTTGCCTCCATCAATCAACTTCATACTTTTACAGAATCCCATTTTCTAATCACACAACAAATGGGAATTGAACAAAACCCCTAACCTATCTGCCTATTGCACTCCTTTTTTATTATATATTATAGGCTTAATCATGACTCTGAGAATTCATGAGCGAATAAAGCCTTAATCCACGAAACTAGAAGAAACTTGAATCTTCCCCTCATTCTATATCTTCATTAAAATAGTACACGCTGCTTTAATTAATCAATTTTCTCCTTTACTTTGCTTAATCTTTTGATCTGATTCTTCTATACCTATCCCCCATGAAAAGCGTGGATGGATGGAGGTGGACACAGTGGGAATGTCCAATTAATTTTAATTAATGCATATATAAGCTATTAACTATATCTATCTTCGTTGCGCATGTTAATTATATATTCTGGCCTTTCCTTCTGGTCATTTATTTGTAAGAAGCAGCCTTATTGTTATAATAGTGGGCGTAGATTTGTAACATTCTGCACCGTCCTAATAAATTAATTAGCCAGACACTGTCCCGACCACAGATGACATGATCAACTAAACAAAAGATCGTGAGTTTTTTTTTTTTTTTTAAAGGCTCAGATTATGTCTTCCTACTTAAAGTTAAAGATGCACTACATCTAATCCTAATTAAAACGAGATCTTGTAATTAGAACTTGAAGTAATATGAAACTGTCCACTGTTTTTGCAGAAACCTTGCATATTAACAAACTTCCAAATTCCTGTGCACACCAAAAAGAATGAAACGTGATTATCATGTCGTATACCAGCTATATTACTAAGGATATGAATGTTTACAAATTTGTTTTATTGATTAGTCTATATATGAAACAATTAATTAATAAGCATATGCTGATTCAAGCTTTAGCCTCCATTTGCAGTCTTATCCAGAAAGGAAGAAGCAAAATGCTTTTTCAAATAGACGACATGTTGTTTTAGAAAAAGCATCGTCGAATCATGGAGATCCATAACATTAATCCCTCGGCCAAATATAAAATTTCACTGGAGAATAAATAATCATAGGGTATGGTCCATCAAAGCTCATTAGTGACAATAATTGATGAGATGCCCTCCGACTTATTTAATATTACCCAGATCTGCAATGCTAGGTGCCCAATATACGATCGATCTACCATAAATTGCCGTCTTAATTATGCATCTCATTTACATGCTATAAAAAATTAGACAACATACCGAAAAAGGCAAGAGTGCCGATTTTAGTTAAAAAAAAAAAGTTATGTTATTATATCGTATGCTTACTCAACATATAGATAACAAAATAAACAAACAGGCATATTTCATGAATTGAATCATATCTATGTTGGGGAAATATTGTTGTTATTAGCTATCTTTTAATACTTAACTCCGACCTTTCAAACAATTACAACGGTTTCCATTTTTGCATCGAGGTTGAAAAATTATATATGGGCGCATTGTTGCATCGAGGTTGAAAAAAAAAATATAGCCGCATTGTTTACGTATATTGAGTTAAAATTTGAGCAGATTTGATTTTATGTGAGGAAGTATAGAAAAGATTTAGATAAGATAATACTGAACTGTTAAAAAAAAGTATATAAGTAAAAAAGACTCATAATGTTAGTACCTTATGAAAAGAGATAATATAATCGAATTTTTATTTTTAATTGATAAAAAGCTTTGCAGGAATTTAATAATAATAATAATGATAATTCCCTCGTGTTTACGACGACTGGGGAATAGCCGCAGCATTTATTAAATGCAGAGAATATAGGTCGGTGCATTCCACGAGGATCATATGGTCTTCTAAGAACTTCACTTTCAGGCTTACAGGTTTTAATGAGATCGCGCCGTTTCATGGGCACATGCATGATCACGAAAATGCCAGTTTAATTTCCTTCAATTTTGTGCATTATTTGGATTTTGGTAATAGTAATATGTAATATTCGCTCATATAATATGAAGATATATATGTGTGTGTGGATGTTATGTGCCTACATAATTGTAGCCTTTTATCCCTGAGGACCACGCTATCTCCATTATCCGGGATGGTCCCATTCCTATTATATTATAGTGATGGTGAATATTTTTCATAGAATTTAATTAATTATGACTTTTAAACTTTAATTAGTGGATGCCATGACGTTTTTGTGTACATATATTCTTATTGATTAAATTAACTGGAAAAATATTAACAACAGTAATAGTATAAAGTTGGAAATTAATACTGATTAATTATAAATGGAAAAATTGATTGCTAAAGCCGTCCTAATTAGTAATTAGGGGCCACAACTAAGTACTTGCAAGGCTCTGAGTGGCTGTGACTAATTTTCACACCGGATTATTATACTGCCCTTGCATCTAATGAGGCTCCATCAAAATTATTTGGTGCCATGGATTCATACACAGTATTTTCGATCTTAATTATCAGATATTTTTTATAGTCTACAAACGAGATCTTATAATTAGAATCGAAGGTAATACATATTTATACCACATAATAACTTTGACATCATATATATCTTCTGAATAAATACAAAGAACCAAGGGAAATTTGGTTAAAAAGTTTCTGTCTGAAAACTTAATTAGTTAAAAAGGATTTAAATTTGAGTAAGTGTAACTATAATTAGTTATTACAATTTTTCTTTTGTTATGTGTAATGTATCATCAGTGATGTGTAACAATTATCAATATAAAAGTCATTTATATGCATCTATAAAGAAAAAAAATTATACTTACAAATTATAACTGTACGTATTCAAATTTAGATATTATCTAATTAAATTTTTAAATAGAAAAATTTTACCAAATTTTCTGAAAACCAGTGCCTTACTTGACATATAGAGGACATGGACGCAAGGAGACAGGACAGGTGGTAGCACAAATATGCTCTCTGGAGGAGGATGGGACAATCAACTTTTTTCAGCCCGTAGGAAATTACTGTATTGTGCAAGGGCTGCTCAGCAACTACCGCTTTAATTACTCCTTTTATTCAATATGTTATTTTCTTTTATATCACCCTCGTCGCCTTAATTAGAATTGGCAAGATGAACTGATCAAATACGGTGCTAACACTTAAATAAACTGACTGATACTACAATTTTGCAAGTTTGTATACTTTCAACCCACAAAATTAATGAGTTTAGCGATTCGATTTAGTGGTTTTAACTTATTCAGGCAGCCCTTTTTTTTCGCAGAATCACATTATAGCCCCCACAAAAAGCAATTTTATAACACAGAAGCGATCATAATAAAATCTAAAATTATCAAGGGACTAATTAAAAATTAGATTTTGCAATCCAATTATTAAAACACCTTTCATTTTTATGAAAACAGAACCCACCACTGTTAGATGGTGCAAATTCAAATATTATGTCTAAAATAAACTTGTTAGCATGCCTGAATGTACGAAAGTCTAACTTATTAAAAGGTGAACTATATTTATACAACATTTAATCCTCAATTAGTCCCTTTGATCGTTCAGATCCTCTTGAAGCTCTTTGCTACCATGAAATTGTTTATGTGGGACTTCAACGTGATTCTCTTTTTCTCCCCCTAATTTTTGTCATGAACAACTCTAAACAACTTGTTTTTTCAGCTAACTTTAGACAACTTGTCAACAGCATTAAGTGACTGTTATGAATTGCACGTACTCAGTAATTAACGGTAAAGTTAATCGGCATTTTCCTAAAACAAAAATTCAGCCTGGTGCATATGAAGAAAACCAGTGTTCAACGAACCCGTTTGTTTGTTTTATTATACTTTTCCGTCTTAAATATAATATCTTTATACACTCTAGTGTATAAAGACTTTATATTTAGGACTGGAGGACTACTAAATATTTACAGATAGACGGTGAAAGAAGCCGGGTCTAGAGACGGCCAAAAAACCAAGAGGAATAAGCGGCGCATTGAGTTCTGAATATTTATTCTCGATTTTTTTTTTTTAAAAAAAAAAGGTAAATCAGGGCCTTATGGGAGAGCCTCTGCCGTCTCATTCGCAACCTCAAAGAGTCAACAGTAAGAAACGCTAACCGAGGAACTGAGTTGGGTGGGGAGGCACGCGCACACAACATAGGTGGAAAAGTCAAAGTACCAAAGCGTCAAACTTCGTAGCCTCTTTTACTTATGAAAAAAGAGGAAAAAGCTCCCAGTAGTAATTTATTTATGTCTATTGTTTAATAAGATATTTTAATTTAATATACCCCTCCGCTTAGATAATTGAATTCTTATTAATTAAATCATTAATTTCCCTCCCTTCTCTATCCTATTGTATCTTTATGGTCTATATAAACCCTCCCTCCTCTGTCCTCATCTGTAATACATCCATCCAACCCTCTCTCTCTTTCTCCTTCTCAGAAACGAAGGCAACAGCAAAAGCACAACAGCTATACCCGGTTCAAATTCGAACTTGGAAATCGATTAAGCCCCTTGTGTGTTTCTGGATTCTGTGATCCTTCCGGCAATGGACGTCAAAGGAAGAGGAAGCGCCTCCCCCACTCTCCAAGCCGACGTCGTCGACGACCTCGACCTCAGGCGAGGCCCTTGGACGGTCGATGAGGACCTCACCCTCATCAATTACATCACCACTCACGGCGAAGGTCGCTGGAACTCTCTTGCCCGCTCCGCTGGTATATCTACTTCCACTGACGTTCTTTTATTGTCTATGTCTTTTCAACAATCTGAATCATACCCCCGCCCCACTTCTAAATTTCTTTGGCTCTTGTGCTTTTCGTTTGATTCAAACACTTTAATCAATTGTCGCGTTCAATAATCTCCACTTGTCTTCTTTTCCTCACAACCAATCAATCTCATTTGGGGACAGAACTATCAAGGATCAAATCAAGTTCTAAAAGCCAAAGTTTTCGGATTTTTCTTGATATATATAATAGAGTACGTTCAGATGGATTAAAAGATATGTACACTTGCGTCGTACTGTATATGCACACTTATATATTTGTGGATCAGGATGACATGTAGGTTAGTGATAGATGATAGTTGTTTAGACGCAGCCCACTTATTGAAAAGGAAATGATAGTTATGATATACGCCGCAGTTGAAATCATCAGATATGTTTGAGGGAAAGAGAAAGTCCTCTCTATAGAGTATAGAGCCAATAATGCTCTTTCTTTTCCTCTATATTCTCTCACAGAACTTTACCAATTCAAGCAATCTAATTTTGGTACAGGCCTCAAACGTACTGGCAAGAGCTGCAGATTGAGGTGGCTCAACTATCTCCGCCCCGATGTTCGACGTGGAAATATCACACTGGAAGAACAGCTTCTGATTCTCGAACTTCATTCTCGCTGGGGAAACAGGTATTTGTCAACCCAGATATATTAGTTCATACATATATCTGCATGCATTCAACAACATACACCCAGATACACATATATCATTTCTATTTCCTTTTTGTTGTTCTCTTAATCAGTTATAAAATATTTAATTGATGAGAATTGTTTATATGGATTTGATTAGGTGGTCCAAGATAGCCCAGTTTTTGCCGGGAAGAACCGACAACGAGATCAAGAATTACTGGAGAACCCGCGTCCAAAAGCATGCCAAACAACTCAAATGTGACGTGAATAGCAAGCAATTCAAGGACACTATGCGCTACCTTTGGATGCCAAGGCTGGTTGAGCGCATTCAAGCAGCTGCCGCCACGGCTGCCACCGCCACGACAACGGCAAGTTCTCAGACGTTATCTGCCGCCACAACCGGCACCACAAACTCCACATACAATCCTTATTATAATAACAACATGGAAGTTGAGAATGGGAACATGCTCATGAACCCGGCCCCCATCATGAATAATAATGACTTTGGAGGCTCACAGGTCACTCAGAGCTACACGCCGGAAAACAGCAGCACAGGTGCTTCATCGGACTCGTTCGGAACACAGGTTTCGCCTGTGTCGGAGTTGACTGATATTTACAGTACCGTCCCTAATCAGGATTACTACCAACCCTCTCAGATCAGCTACTCTGATTGCATCACCAGCCCATCCGGGTTATACCCTCAAGGATTGGATTATACCCAGGTGATGGAGCCGAGCAACCCGTGGATTCAGGGCGGGGACACGTTAGACAATTTGTGGAATGTTGAGAATATGATGTTTTTACAGCAGCAGCTCAACAGCGACAGCATGTAAAAACTCGCAATTATAGGAGATCAGAGGGGAGAAATCCAAACACCGAAAATTATTCGGGTGGGGGAGGCAAATTGAAAACATGAAATGGAATAAAATTATATGTAGGATACTTATAGTTTAATTTTGTGGCCAACTTATAGGTATGATAGCAACTGTGGATTAATCTTCGGTTTTAGCTTGGCGTTTAATTTTCCTTGTTTTAGATGGGGAGGGGGTACATTTGTAATTTGATATTTCATTCATTGAAATTATCTAACTTTGTTTTGTCTTCTTTTTTTTCTCTGATGATTTGATCGATTCTTCTGTTGTTTTTTTTTTTCCCAATCCCTTAGGCACATACATCCAATGAGAACACGAGTGCATGATCGTACACATATAATTTCGAGAAATAATAATTATAATATAAGGGTGTGCATAATTGGTTCCACTCAGTTCCTATTAAAACTGATATTATATAATATATGCAAGCTTTTTAAAATATTGTCCACGGGACATGAACCAAGGGTGAAAAGGGACCCAAGTGTTTCTAGATTGCTAATAAAAAAAAAAGTATATTTATAGACGTGGGATGATGCGATTGGGGGCTGAGGGCTTGCTCCAGAGTTCAAGCTGGCCATTAAGGGCAACATTTTCAAAAGCGAAAAGACAAATGTTTATTAGTATTAGTGATATTATATTAATGGTTAATGATGGAGAAAAGCCTTGTCACCAAAGTACGATTCCGAGGACCCTAATTTCGCTCACGCTTTGTTGGATATAGTACGGACAAACAAATTTGATGAGAAATCCAAAATTACCTGCTTCTGATCTCACCCATGAGCTGATGCACACAACACGCGCGCAGAAAAAAAGAACGGGAAGGACCAAAATGGGATACATGATTCATGCCAACAGGGGTGATTAGGTAATTTCATTTTTTTGGGGAGGTGGGCACGTGCCAAGCTGGAGGGAGAAGGTAAAAGCAACACGTGATAGAATAGTTTAGAGAGAGAGAGAGGGTATGGCGGCGGGGGAATCTTGGAGTAGGGCGCGTGCCTATAAGAGAGGGGGGGGGGAGGTGGTCCAGGAGAGTGAAGGGTTGAGAGGATGCCGCGTGGAAGTGTGGAAAATGGGATTGGAGAATGGAGATGAGATGAGGGGTTAGGCTTCCTAGAGTGAAGCACTGACGGCCGCAACCGTTGAAACTGCCTCCCTATTCATTAGTCCACCTCTACTCCTCACGGCGCCCCCTCCGGTGCTTCTTTTTTCCTTTCCTTTCCCCTTCTTCTCTTACACATCTTTCTTTCTGACTCTTTCTTTTTTAAAAAAAATATATCAATAGATGTTCTCTAACAAGATTATACCCCCCCGGTCTCAAATAGGGCACACCTCTAAATCACCTCAGCTGCAAAAAAAAAAAGGTACTCGTATTAATATATTTAAACTCATTAAATTGGTCACAAATTTATAATATTCTTTAAATGCACCCCCCATATATATATATTTGGGATGGCTACATGGTGGGTAGCATACAAAAGAGTACTTACAAGCGGCGTTATTAAAAAAAAAAAAAGGATTCGACCATTTAGATATTCAGTGACTCTTATGCTCATGAGACCATCCACATTTGCTCTCTCATGTCTTATATATAAATATATATAATACTAACTCCGATCTTTAATATAAGAGCTGATTCAACTTTTAATCTAGTTATAAATATAATATTTTAATTTACTTTATCTCTTATATTTATCTTTTTTTAAAAAAAATAATTCTTATAGTAGTACACATGTTAAATGTTCCATCAAATAACATGACCAAAAAAGATATTTTAGAGAAAGTAATATATTTTTACCACAAATAATTAATTTAACTAACTTTCTTAATCTACTCAAATTAGTTAACTAGTTCTTATATTAAAGATTGGGATTAGTATATTCTATCATAACTAGTATAACCCACCACTTAGAATATAGACACACCTATCCTGGGTCAGCACGTTTTGTAACCTGTCAACATGGCACTGTTTTTTTTTAACAAATTTAAAATTTTTGATAAAAAATACTCCTCCGGTCTTTAATATAGGACCCAATTGTTGAGTTAGTTTTGGTCTTAAATATAAGATCAATTTCTCATATTTATCAATTTTCTCTAAATTACCCTTATGGATATTTCCTCAATCATAATTAAGTAGAAGAAGAAGAAGGGGTATTAAGAAAGATGATTATAGTATTTTAGGAAAAACGTGTCACATTTCTTATAATTAACTAACTTACCTAACTTTCTTAATCTAATCAAATTAGTTAAATGGGTCTCATATTAAAGACTGGAGAAGTAAGTTATATACATTATTTAAAAGAAAACAATTATATGTGGAATAGCTACCTCGTAGATAGGATACTATATATTGCCACGGTATCGAAACCTTTTTAACATGGTGCAATTTTTATTTCAGCATCATTGCTATGTGGAACATGAGGTTCTCCTAAGAGGGATTTTATTGATTCCTAGAAATCAAGTTTACTCCATTTACGCAATTTCCTTGTTTATTTTATTGACTAATTTCCAATGTTATTAAACCCGGACTAGACCAGACGGTCCAACTGGTCTGGCCATCACCCGGTGATACAAGCGGTTAGTTCATATGCTTTAGACCGTCTTCTGCCTTCAGTCGGATTCAGCCACTTTGAACCTCCTTTTGAGCCGGAATCCAGATTTGAGCCAAGAACCAGAGCGGATTTGAGTAAACCGGGCAGTTTTGAGCTTACCTTTTCTGACAAAAAAAAAACCTTCAGATATGATATATTTTGTCATTCCTCTAGTATGATTTTACACTTTTGCTAAAATACCACATCTTCTTTAGTTCTCTGTGCTTCCTTTCCTCCGTCGTTGTTATTTGTTAGTTAATCTTCATCCTTAAGCAAGTGAGCAAGCTTCACTTCTTCCCTCTGTTGCGACTTCCTATCTCCTCTTGCCCAAAAGGTCTCGTTTTCCGTCTTAGATTCTTCTCCCTACTTAGAGTCGGGAATCAGGGCCGGCCCTTCAGGGCTGGCGGGCTTAAAAGGGCCGGCCCTCCAGGGCTGGAATTTTAAAAATACCCCAATTTGCTAGGCCCGGCCCTTAAGCTACAGGGCTAGGGCCGGCCCGCGGGCTTTTGGCCCGTTTAAGAAAAATACTATTTTTTATATTTATCATATTTTTTATAAAAATAAATCAATGAAATTATTAATAAAAGACATAAATATGAATAAAATTAAGTCACATATAAATATCATCATATATAAATATTCATCAACATCTAAAACATTCATTAACAAGATAACAACATCTAAAAGTTTTATCTATAATGCAATTGTGCAATAAATAAACACTATTATTAATCTTTTGAAACTTCATCATCACTATAATTAATTACTTTTCTTCATAAGTATACTTTTTCTTTCGTAACAAAAATATCAAGTTTTTCTTCTTTATAAGAATTTTATTTTTAAATTTTGCAATCTAACTATTTTTTTACTTTAATGTGAGAAACATTGCTGTTAAAACTCATGAATTTCTAATTCAAATTATAGAATCACAAGTTATATAAGTATAAAAATATTCTATTATCAAATATATATATATAGTTTAAAAATATCAACGCATATAATATAAATCAAATCATTATTAAAGTCCAAATTAACCCATTTTTTAAAAATTTAATTGGATAAATTATTATCTAAAACTAAATTTACTTTTAAAATGATAATAATAACTAAATATTTGAAATATTATTAACAATGTAAAAAATTAATAACATTAATATTATATAAAAAATTTTAAAAATAAAAAAAATAAAAAGGGCTTAAAAGGGCCGGCCCGTGGCCCTCCAGGACCGGCCCTTTTAAGCCCTTTATTTTTTTTATTTTTAAAATTTTTTTATATAATATTAATGTTATTAACCACGGGCCGGCCCTTTTAAGCCCTCGGCCCTCCAGGGCTTATGTTTCATTTTAAGAGAAAAATATCAAGCCCGGCCCTCATAATTTCAGGGCCTAAAAGGGCCGGCCCGACGGGCTCGACCCGTTTTCCCGGCTCTATCCCTACTCTAGTCCTTGTCTGTGAAGACTTATTTTATGTTTTCTAAACTTTTCTTCTTATAATTAGTCCAGCATAATCCATGTGTAGTGTACTGCTCATCCTAGTTGTGTGCATATAATTTAACTTGTGAAAATTTGTAGTCAAGGCCCAAAATCGATGTTTGGCAGAAAAATCAAATGGAAGTAGAATGAAATAACTCAAAATTATTGTCAAGTTAAACTATTTAAATTTATTTTATGCTATTTAAAAATTGATATTTTAATTTTATACATTTATTATATATACATAATATTATTTTTAATTCAATTTTTCTATTACTGGTTTGACCAGATAGTTCGACTGATTCAACCATTTGAACCATGATTTGCTAGCTTTTTTGGTGAGATGTTCGGTCCGGCTTTTAAAACATTGCTAATTTCTTCCAAACGCGCGTGCCCGCAAATGTTACGTATGATAGGAATAAATTGAGGAGGAAACAAGGAAACAAATCACAAAATGGTATTTGCTTCCGTTCTATTTATAAGCTTTAAATTTATAAAGAAAATCGTTTATTGATAAGTTTTACTTTGTATTTATCTTAACATTAATATATTTTTTTCCAATTTTACTCTCAATTATTTATTCTCTTCTTTTGTTGCACCCTCACTTATCACATTTTTTGCACACACTCTCTTTCATCTATTTTTCTCATTTATTGCAATAACATATTTAAAAATAAAAACATATTTCTAACTTAATTATTATTTAAAACTAATTTAATTAAAGATAGTAAATTAATTATTTAAGGTCATAATGGGAACCGGGAAGTAGTGCACGGAGAATCACCCATATAAAGCATAGTGATGATTAATTAGGATAGGCTTACACGTGGCTATCAAACAAAGGGATGCATGGCTGGACTCCACAACAGAGGAGCGGGAGACTTCTCATGAATACAGCAAATTAAAGGAAGGGGTGGTGGAAATTAAAGAGAGAAATTTTAATGCGTTACGGATATTATGTGGTTATATGGTAGTGAACGTTGAGACAAAAACGCAATCCTTTTTTCAGGCCGAACGTTATAATCTACGGATAGAAACGGTACCCAATTAAATTACGAGTAATTCAGAAGAAAGATAAAAAGTCATGTTTAACTTTTCATAGTTCGTGTCCATGCACATGTTCCACTTGAGCCGTGGATAATAAGAATATGAGAAATCATATGTT